AAAAAAAAAAAAAAAAAAAAAAAGAACGAAAGAAATAATTAAAAAGAAAGACTGAAAGAAATCTCATTGATGGGAGGATACTTTTATGAACATGCTTCACATGCATCATGTTAATGTAAACTTTGCAGCTTAGTTTCTAAAAACAAAACTTACTAAAGAAAGGAAGAAATCTTTGTCTTTGCTGCCATAATAATGCAGATACTACTACTAAGGCTGTCAATTGTAATAAGTCTCAAATCAAGTTCTAGAGAGCTTGGCACACCAATCACACAGCATGCAAGTTGTCTGTGTAACATGCCCCAGGCCAGATTATAGAGGAACTTGGCTCACTATGTCAGCATGTAAATTCAGCATGGACTCCCACCATAAAATAAACGGAAAAAAAAGAAAAGAAAAAAGAGAGTCAAACTATGGACACAGAGATAAAAGGGGCGGCTAAAGAAAGAGGAAGAGAAAGGGAGTGAGAGAGGTTAAAATAGGAGGTAAAAAGGTCAAGCATAAAGATAAATGAGGGTGGTTAAAGGCAGAGGAAGAAGGACATCGCAATTCCTATGAGGAGACAGACATTCAGAGTGGGGAAGTATGATGAGATCTACTATTTTCTCCTCTTCATCTCCTCCACAGTGTTATTTTCTATGGAATATTTGTTTTGTGGAGTCTCAGTCTCAAGAAGCTATGAGTAATAGAACTTATTCTATTAGACTGATGTAGCCTAAATGGATTATTGTGCATGAACTTTCTCAATTCCATTCATGTTTCTGTATTCTTGAAGATTTTTATCTATAGATCGTAAAGGAGTAGAAATATAGTTTAGGAACCTACATTTGAAGAGTATATCATAGATTGGATATTTAAAAGCACAACTAAAGGAGGTTAGAGAGGATATCATAGGTTGGATCTTTAAAAGCACAACTAAAGGAGGATAGAGAGGATATTACAGTCAGAGAAATCAAATTGAAGCTACCTGTACTATACAAACCTGCTTACAAGTAAAGTGATCCACGAATAGAAGAAAAACATTTCAAAATTTCAGCAATATAATCATTACTAGTATTCGACTAACTCGAGAAATTGAAACAAAAAACTTCTAGAAAAAATAACTTCTAGTACAGCAGTTAATCTTTGGTGGAAGAAAAACGATACACACTCACGTTTCTTCGGTATCTGCGGCAGTGCCATTCTCTTGATCCTCTCCTCCAGAAGTTTTCTCATCTGGAGCGTTTAACAATTCCTGAGCAGTTCTTAGAGCTCTCAATCTCTCTTGACGTGCTGCAGCAACTTGTTCGACGGAGTCTTCTTCAGTTGCCATTGCCTATTGTACGTAAAATATCTGATAAGAAAAGAACTAAAAATCACTCTAGATTGTTCTCGATAAAGAAAGTATGACTAAGAAATCGCAAAATGAAAATTGAAGAAAGACTAAGGTATTACGAGTCATTTTCAAAGTCATATTTCATCTATTTAACCTTCGAGATAGTCATAGATTACGAAAAATCGTCACAAGGAAGCGAAAGAAAGAGTAGACAGCGGAAGGAGCACCACAAAGAAGGCGGAAAAGCGAGAGAAACAATTATACTCGCAAGATACTTACGGAAAAACTCGAGAGGAATAACAGCTTTCTTCACAAAATTGCACTCGCAAGAGCTGCTTCAGAAGCTTCAAGCAATGGCAGAAGAGAGAAAACGGAGAGTTTCTGGCGCAAAAGCCCTCTGATACTAATCTGGCTTTCTTGACATCTGCTATATATACCCGCCCCGGATCCTTGAGGCCCACATTACAATCGGATCCTTGAGGCCCACATTACAATCGGATCCGCTTATGAAATTTTATTAACCTAAATTGTATATATATAATTAATGATCAATTTTGCCTTTTTTTTTTTTCCATTATTCTTTTAAAAGCTTTATTAACTTTTTTTTTCCAAACTTGTTTAATTTTTTCGTCCTATGTTCGAAAGATTTCCATTTTAATAGTAATTTTGAAAAGATATTTTTAAACAATTGATAAATTTTTAAATAATTTAGCCATTAAAGTACATATTTAAATTTTATTTTTAATTATCGAAGGAAATAATTAACAATTTATTTTCTTTGTATCCAATATAATTATTTTTATATATTTTTTATACATCTAGTGTATACCAAATTGATAATTTGGTGTTTTATTAGAGAAAATAATAATTATTATTATATATCTAATAGATATGTAACGACCAAAACTCACTGCTAGCAGATATTGTCGACTTTGACCCATTACGTATCGTCATTCGCCTCACAATTTTCACACTATTCCACCTAATGTAGGATCTCATAATCCACCTCCTTGAGAACCCAACATGCTCGCTGGCACAATATCCACCTCCTTGAGAACTCAACATGCTCGCTGGCGCAGTATCCACCTCCTTGAGGACCCAACATGCTCGCTGGCACAATATCCACCTCCTTGAGGACCCAACATGCTCGTTGACACAATATCCACCTCCTTGAGGACCCAACATGCTCGTTGACATAATATCCACCTCCTTGAGGACCCAACATGCTCGCTAGCACAGTATCCACCTCCTTAAGGACCCAACATACTCGCTGACACAGTACCCACCTCCCTTGAGGGCCCAACATCCTCGTTGGCACACTACCCACCTCCTTCGAAGGCCGAACATATCCTTGCTAGCACACTACCCACCTCCCTTGAGGGCCGNAAAAAAAAAAAAAAAAAAAAAAAGAACGAAAGAAATAATTAAAAAGAAAGACTGAAAGAAATCTCATTGATGGGAGGATACTTTTATGAACATGCTTCACATGCATCATGTTAATGTAAACTTTGCAGCTTAGTTTCTAAAAACAAAACTTACTAAAGAAAGGAAGAAATCTTTGTCTTTGCTGCCATAATAATGCAGATACTACTACTAAGGCTGTCAATTGTAATAAGTCTCAAATCAAGTTCTAGAGAGCTTGGCACACCAATCACACAGCATGCAAGTTGTCTGTGTAACATGCCCCAGGCCAGATTATAGAGGAACTTGGCTCACTATGTCAGCATGTAAATTCAGCATGGACTCCCACCATAAAATAAACGGAAAAAAAAGAAAAGAAAAAAGAGAGTCAAACTATGGACACAGAGATAAAAGGGGCGGCTAAAGAAAGAGGAAGAGAAAGGGAGTGAGAGAGGTTAAAATAGGAGGTAAAAAGGTCAAGCATAAAGATAAATGAGGGTGGTTAAAGGCAGAGGAAGAAGGACATCGCAATTCCTATGAGGAGACAGACATTCAGAGTGGGGAAGTATGATGAGATCTACTATTTTCTCCTCTTCATCTCCTCCACAGTGTTATTTTCTATGGAATATTTGTTTTGTGGAGTCTCAGTCTCAAGAAGCTATGAGTAATAGAACTTATTCTATTAGACTGATGTAGCCTAAATGGATTATTGTGCATGAACTTTCTCAATTCCATTCATGTTTCTGTATTCTTGAAGATTTTTATCTATAGATCGTAAAGGAGTAGAAATATAGTTTAGGAACCTACATTTGAAGAGTATATCATAGATTGGATATTTAAAAGCACAACTAAAGGAGGTTAGAGAGGATATCATAGGTTGGATCTTTAAAAGCACAACTAAAGGAGGATAGAGAGGATATTACAGTCAGAGAAATCAAATTGAAGCTACCTGTACTATACAAACCTGCTTACAAGTAAAGTGATCCACGAATAGAAGAAAAACATTTCAAAATTTCAGCAATATAATCATTACTAGTATTCGACTAACTCGAGAAATTGAAACAAAAAACTTCTAGAAAAAATAACTTCTAGTACAGCAGTTAATCTTTGGTGGAAGAAAAACGATACACACTCACGTTTCTTCGGTATCTGCGGCAGTGCCATTCTCTTGATCCTCTCCTCCAGAAGTTTTCTCATCTGGAGCGTTTAACAATTCCTGAGCAGTTCTTAGAGCTCTCAATCTCTCTTGACGTGCTGCAGCAACTTGTTCGACGGAGTCTTCTTCAGTTGCCATTGCCTATTGTACGTAAAATATCTGATAAGAAAAGAACTAAAAATCACTCTAGATTGTTCTCGATAAAGAAAGTATGACTAAGAAATCGCAAAATGAAAATTGAAGAAAGACTAAGGTATTACGAGTCATTTTCAAAGTCATATTTCATCTATTTAACCTTCGAGATAGTCATAGATTACGAAAAATCGTCACAAGGAAGCGAAAGAAAGAGTAGACAGCGGAAGGAGCACCACAAAGAAGGCGGAAAAGCGAGAGAAACAATTATACTCGCAAGATACTTACGGAAAAACTCGAGAGGAATAACAGCTTTCTTCACAAAATTGCACTCGCAAGAGCTGCTTCAGAAGCTTCAAGCAATGGCAGAAGAGAGAAAACGGAGAGTTTCTGGCGCAAAAGCCCTCTGATACTAATCTGGCTTTCTTGACATCTGCTATATATACCCGCCCCGGATCCTTGAGGCCCACATTACAATCGGATCCTTGAGGCCCACATTACAATCGGATCCGCTTATGAAATTTTATTAACCTAAATTGTATATATATAATTAATGATCAATTTTGCCTTTTTTTTTTTCCATTATTCTTTTAAAAGCTTTATTAACTTTTTTTTTCCAAACTTGTTTAATTTTTTCGTCCTATGTTCGAAAGATTTCCATTTTAATAGTAATTTTGAAAAGATATTTTTAAACAATTGATAAATTTTTAAATAATTTAGCCATTAAAGTACATATTTAAATTTTATTTTTAATTATCGAAGGAAATAATTAACAATTTATTTTCTTTGTATCCAATATAATTATTTTTATATATTTTTTATACATCTAGTGTATACCAAATTGATAATTTGGTGTTTTATTAGAGAAAATAATAATTATTATTATATATCTAATAGATATGTAACGACCAAAACTCACTGCTAGCAGATATTGTCGACTTTGACCCATTACGTATCGTCATTCGCCTCACAATTTTCACACTATTCCACCTAATGTAGGATCTCATAATCCACCTCCTTGAGAACCCAACATGCTCGCTGGCACAATATCCACCTCCTTGAGAACTCAACATGCTCGCTGGCGCAGTATCCACCTCCTTGAGGACCCAACATGCTCGCTGGCACAATATCCACCTCCTTGAGGACCCAACATGCTCGTTGACACAATATCCACCTCCTTGAGGACCCAACATGCTCGTTGACATAATATCCACCTCCTTGAGGACCCAACATGCTCGCTAGCACAGTATCCACCTCCTTAAGGACCCAACATACTCGCTGACACAGTACCCACCTCCCTTGAGGGCCCAACATCCTCGTTGGCACACTACCCACCTCCTTCGAAGGCCGAACATATCCTTGCTAGCACACTACCCACCTCCCTTGAGGGCCGAACATATCCTTGCTAGCACACTACCCACCTCCCTTGAGGGCCCAACTTCCTCACTGGCCTACTACCCAATATTAGGCTCTAATACCATTTGTAAAAGCTCAAGTTCATTGCTAGCAAATATTATCTATTTTGACTCGTTACATATCTACTAAGAAGAAGTTTCTTTGTTCCCCTCTCCACTTGATGTAAGATCTCACACTAGGCAGCGGTAGAAAATAACTATTTTTTTTTTAAAATATATATTCATGAGAGTTGAAGTGAGATGGTAAGCAATTTGTCCATTCTCATAGGATAACATTAAATTCTCTAGCATATTCAACAATGAAAATAAAATATCCGAAATATTTCAATTTCAAATATGTAATATATTCATAACGAATATAATGCCCGCCATCTAAACAAAGCTGTAAAATGTGATGAAAGGTTGAAGCTAAAAACCGTTGACAGCTTTTTGTTCTTGATGGTCCAATTAATGAATCACAGGCTTTAGAGGATGGGCTCTCAACTTCGACAAGTCCAAATTTGAATCAAGTTCTTCATCTAGCTCCCCAACAATGCTTCTGCAGAAAATTAAGAGCATTATGAGTTTCAATACGATAAAGTTTCTAATGTAAAAACAAGGAATGAATGAATGAATAGCTCTCTATCAAATGAAAGAAAGAAAAACATTCAAATGAAGGAAGAAGAACAGTTCTAATGGTTAACCATTGATAGAATATTCAAATGAAAGAAAGAAAAACAAACAAGATTTTAAATATAGTTAGTTGAACATGTTTTCACAGCACTCTTTGTTTTAGGAACTAATATCACATTTTGTTCGTTGCATGGGCACACAATCTTCTTAGAGTTCAAACTTCAATACACGTCGAGTGTGAAAGCTCAAACTTCTAGCTTCTTGGTTGAGGATATACATAGTTCACATCATTCGTTATGCGTGCATACTTTTTTTTAGAATTCAATAACACGTGAGGTGAGGAGATTCAACCTTCTAACCTTTTGGTTGAAAGATACCTTAACTAGTTGAGCTACGTTCAGATGTTCAGGTTAGCGTGTGTAGAGAGAGCAAACTAAAATGAGATGGTAACTTACATATTGTCGCCTCTGATTATATATAGACCCAAAACAAGTTGCTGAACTCCTTCCTGCAGAAGGAGAGAAGAATCTGAGTTATAAAAACGGAATGCAAAGGACAAATGCTCTACCTTAAATCCCTTGAAATCCATCAAGTCGGAACTTGTGAGATTCGAAATTCAAGCGACCCAAAGGCCAAATCACAGAAAAATCTATATGAAAATGCTAGTAGTTGTTTATTTGAACTATGGACCTGATAAACGAAAACAGAAATATAGTAGTTACAAAGACAAATAAGTGATGTAAAAATCTAAAAATCAAACTTCAGATGATTGGTATCTTCTTGTGCATTTTCCGAAACCCATATTCCGAACAAAAATTTAAACCAAGAATCATCCTATTAGTAATCAAAAAATTGATATAAGCAAACAACTATAATGAGCCCTGACATCAATGTGGGTAATAACAACCACGAATGGAACCAGTTTCACAAAACAAAGGCCTATATGGTGAATAATTGAAAATGAATATAAAACAACTGCATAGACTAGAGACAGAAAATTTGGGCAATGGGCATATTTTTGAAGGTAGGGGGCCAAAGGGAGAAGAAAAATTAACTATAGAATTTTTTTTCGATGCAAAAAATTCTCTGTTTAGTCGATGAACCTTGGTAGAAAATTCCATCTAAGTTACATGGTCAGCATACAAACCTTGGTCGAGTAAACACGTTCATGAGATTCATCGAGGATAATATTTGTAGCCTGGTCAAATCCTTTCAACACTCCCTGAATAAAGTATTGTTAATAGACACGAATTGGGTGGTTGAAATACCAGTCAACTGGAAGATAGTTCATGAACATACCACTATATTGCGGCCGTCATTAGTGATAACTGATATTGTTTCTAAAAAAAAAGAAATTAAAAGGAAGATTTAAGTGCAAGCCGATAAGAACAGTACAGTGAAGGAAAAGTCAAGTAAACTGAAATTGAATTCAACATGAACTTTAAATACATTAGTTTCTCAGAACCAAATTTATTAGATGAAGGCATGCTTCAACTCCAAGGCAGTTATAGAGATCATAAAATAGTTCCACTCGGTCCATTCACTTCTTTTTTCAATGTTTTCACATTATCTCTACTAGACTAATGTATCTATTGATCAAGTAAAAAATATGCCACAAATAATAGTTAAAATATTTGCCCCACCCCATTTACATCAGAAATTGTTCTAAAATTCTTGTTCTTTTAATATATATCTACGAGTGTTTTGGCTAACTAGCACATACATTTGGCTATCCAGATAGCTTGTAGAATATTAAATACTAGGTAGGTGGTCATCATGCTTGAACTCATCCCCTCTAAGCCTTTATTTTTTACAAGGACGTGTGATGGATAATATTCTAGGTTTCATTAAATCAAACAGAAAATAGTACAAAAAGGAACTTTTGAATCACCCAGAACAATTCATAACCAGCTCAAAAGAAGACAATCTATTCAATTTGCATGCCTCAGAAGATCAATACTATCCTCAAGAGAAAAATAATTAACTCATTTTCACACTGTATGAACTACACATACGTATAAAAATAAACAGTTTGAGGGATTATTAATGAGATAACTTACGATCAACCAGTGATTCAAGTCCAGGTCCACTTGCCATTTTGAAGACCCTTACAATAAGCTACGAGTTATTCTCTATTATCCAATCAGCTAGATCCTATCCAAAACAACAAGGAAAATGAAAAACCATTACATTTCAGGCACAAATTAGGCGTCTCTTATAATGCGCTACTTCAAGCTTAAATTCCACGCAAGTACTCGAAGTTGCAGGATTGAAAGAGATGTACGGCGTAAAATATGACGGGGGGAAAATGGCGGCACGGAGTAAGAAGAGAAGAAGAACGAAGAGAGAAGAATTGCAAAGAGAAAGTACAGAATTAGGAATTTCCTTACCAGAAATCAACTAGCTTCAATCTTCCCTAATTTCACGCCAACGACTGCAAGTGAAATCTGCGTCTCCCTCCGAAATGTACAAATATATATTTGGTTGAGGTTGTTCTGTCAATCAAAACAACTCCTACAAGCTAGGGATTCAAAAAGAGAATTGGATAATGCCATTGATTACTTCGACTCATGGCAGTTCGTGAAGTCCAAATTTACAGCAACTGATTTTTTTTTTTTTTCTTTTGCTATTCTGCTACTGTTATAGAATATTAGTACATTAAAATCAAAATAAATCCTCATTTCTTTCATTACACGAGTCCTAATTTGAGTTTTTCAAGTGAGAGAAAAGACATAGATGGAGATTAGTAGAGTACCAGTAACAACTAGAAGATCAATACAACTCGCTAGGAGAGAGGCTGTGAAAGCACGAGCGGATGAAAAATGACGACGGAGGCGGCACTGAACGGGTGAAAGGCGGTGGAGGCGGTGACACTAAGCTGCTGAAATGGAGGAGGGGCCGGCGTGAAGAAGAAGAGGATGCAGCAGAGGACGAAAGGGTTTTAGGTCTCCCATTCTTTTTTTTATTTAATAGTATTTTTTTTTTCGCTTTTCCAATTTGAATTATTTAAACAAAATATTTTGAAATTTTTTATTTTTATCTTTTATTACAGACATACTAAAATATAAATTTAACGCGAAAAGGATAATTAATATTATTTATAATTCTTTTAATTTTTATGTGTTGTCCTTCAAGTCATTTTTAATGAAATAAATCTTTATGGATTTTTTTTTGGAATAAATTTCATCATTAATTAGTAAAAATGAAACATTTCATAGTTAAATCCTTAATTTAATTTCATAAAATTTGATTAATGTGGCAAAAAAAAGTAGATTAATTATAAAGAATAATATTTAAAGATACTTGAACAAATTAAATTAAATTAATTGAAAGGAATAATATTTAAGGAGCTTTTGATGTTGAAAGATACAAAATAATTAAAAATAATAATTTTCTGTGAATTTACGATGCCTTTGCTTTAAGCCCGCCCATTATCATCCTCAACATATCGAGATATTCGAAACCTACCTATCACCTACACCTTCCTATTACCATCCTCAACATCCCGAGAGATTCGAAACCTACCTATCACCTACACCTTCATTTTCTTTGAGATGAAAATTTGATGAGGTACTCATTTTTGTTATTATTTATTTTTAAAACCTAAGTCCAAAAGATATGTAATGTAAAAAATGAACAATATTTACTAGCAAAGTTTAAACGGTTACAAATAGTAACAAAGTCAGACAAACACCAGAAAATGTGTTACAAAACACGAGACGATGTGTTCCAAATAGTACACGATGTGTTTTAAATAGTATAAGAGTTAGCACCAGATGATGTGTTTCAAATAGTATCAAAGTCAGACAGACACCAGACGATGTATTACAAATAGAACACTAGATGATGTGTTTTAAATAGTATCAGAGTCAGACAGACACTAGAAGATGTGTTACAAAACACTAGCAGATGTGTTTTAAATAGTATCAAAGTCAGACAGACACCAAACGATGTGTTTCAAATAGTATCAAAGTCAGAAAGACACCAGACGATGTGTTTCAAATAGTATTAAAGCCAGACAGACACCAAACATGTTGCAAATAGTATTAGAGTCAAACAGACACCAGACGATGTGTTTTAAATAGTATCAGAGTCAAATAGACACCCGACAATGTGTCAGGAGGACGCTAGACCCGAAAGGAGGTAACTCATGGAATCCAACGTCGGTTGGAGAGAGGGGAATGAATCCCTATTTTAAAATCTTGAGGAAAAATTCTTGAAAAGAAAGTCTAGAGAGGATAATATCTACCGGTCTAAATCATTAAACAATAAATTTTACCATGCCAAAAAAAAAAAAAAAAAAAAAAAAAAAAAAAAAAAAAAAAAAAAAAAAAAAAAAAA